AGGCTTGCCCGAGAAAAATGGTTAGGGCGCCACATGCGAACCCTACCCCTACCCCCCACGATTCCTGAGGGGGAGGGTGGGGTTCACTTCGCTCGGGCGCTCCCCAGCGAAGCGAACCCCACCCCCCCCACCCTCAGAAATCGTGGGGGGCAGGGGTAGGGTTCGCATACGGCCCCCTAATGGTACAGTCATCGTGCTACCACAAAGAACGCATCACTACTGAGCAAAGGGTTCCTCTCGCCACGGCGGGCCGAGTACACAAGCATGCTCCACGACAGAAAGTCTAAGGAACGGCCCGAGAACTCGAGCCCCTCACTTCAGCGTCTTCACTGCAGAGCCGATGCGCATCGCGTTGTCACCGCGGCGTGACCGTGAGGGCCTCAGGCCGAGGGGCCACACGCGAGATCATCCACGCGGACACCGGGACAGGATGGGCGGAGAGTGCACTGGATTAGAATCAGAACTACACTTCGTGCAGAGAGGCTGACAAAAATACGATTGGTCAAACAACGTTGGCATAAGAACGGGGATCCAGGCAAGCACGAGGAAAGGAAGGAGGGTAAACGGCCTTCTCACAATGCGGTGCAGGATTGATTGCAGATAAAGCCATGGTGACGAAGATGGCTGCAAGTAATGCTGTTACGTCTACGAGGATAAACGCAGGAGGGTGTTTTTGTTTCTTGTATATCTGAGGGCTTATAAACGCATGCGGGGCGGCGCAACGGCTTCGATGTCGCCCAGCAGCCTGTACCATCTGCATGCCCACGACCCAAAAGGCAACCAGCTCCTCCCGTGTGACGCTCTTTTGCTCCTGCTTACTTCGCACTGCTGCTGCCACTACAGATTCCTATCGTGGAGCGTGCCCTGATATTGCCTCTGCGACCCTCGAATGCCACCCTGCGGCCGCCTTGCTGCAGCACGCCCGACCCCCAAAGGACATCGACTTTGGTTTGTCCAGCCAATCGCTTCTTGTATGCAGTTGGCATGGCGATCCTTTTTTTTCTGGGCGGCTCGAAACCACAGCACGCTGTCGCTCACAAGCAGAAATGTCGCGGACACGCTTCAGACTCGATGTGCTCGGCCCGCGTCGCCCGCCCCTGCATGAGCTGTCTTATAGATACTCCACGCCGTACGCAGCAGGCACACGTCAGGCAGTCCAGCGTGCGGTTACCTTCATACATACACATGAGAGGGCGCGCCCGTCGTACACGCCCAGCACCCACCCACCGTGGACTTCCCCTGCTGAAGTCCCCCCCCTTTTTCCCGCCCCTTGGAAGCTACCCCACACACCCCACACACACACACACACACACACACACACACACACACACACACACACACACACACACCGTTTCGCGCTCTGGAAGCTCCCCCCCCCCCGCCTTTCCAGGGGGGGGCTTAGCTGCCCCCCCCAGAGGGCCTCCTTCGCTGGAAGCCTCCCCCCTCCGTTTTTTCCTCCGCCCCTCGGAAACTCCCCCCCCCCCCTTTCACACCTCCAGAAGCTACCCCCCCCCCCCAACGAAAGGGGAGGGGCTTGGCTACCCCCCCCCCCTTTGACCTCCCCTGCGGGAAGCCCCACCCCTCCTTCTGTTCCGCCCCTCGGAAGTTATCCCCCCCCCCCCTTCGCGCTCCGGAAACTACCCCCTGTTCCACAGGGGGGGCTTAGCTACCACCACCACCACCACCCCATGGGCATCCCCTGCCAGAAGCCCCCCCTCCTTTTTTGTCCGCCCCTCGGAAGCTGCCCCCCCTTTTGAAGACGCGCCGAAAACCAGCGATGCGCCGAAAACCGAAAAAGCGCCAGAAACCAAAGGGGCGCCACCAAGACGAGCGCCGAAAACCAAAAGGGCGCCGGAAACCAGGGAAGCGCCGAAGACGAAACGGACGCCAGAAAACAATCGGGCGCCGCAAACCAACAGGTCGCCACACTCAAAGGGCGCGCAGAAAACCCAAGGGGAACCGAAAACGAAAGGAGCGGCGAAAACCAAAGGAGCGCCGAAAACCAAAGGAGCGCCGAGAACCAAAATGGCGCCGAACACAAAAAAGGCGCCGAAAGCCAAAAGAGCGCCGAAACCTAAAAGAGCGCCGAAGACCAGAGGGGCGCCGAAAACCAAATAAGCGCTGAAAACCAAAGGGCGCCGAAAACCAGAGCGGCACCGAAAACCGAAGAGCCGCCGAAAACCGAAGGGGCGCCGAAAATCCCCAGAGCACCAACAAAAAAAGGCGCCGAAGACCAAAAAAGAACCGAAAAAATAACAGGACGGCGCCGAAAACCACAAGGACGCCGAAAGCTAAAGGACTCCTGGGAGGCCCAGAGCAGTGGTGTCATACGCACATCCAGATTGTACCTCGAGGCTCCCTCGGGGTTCTGCCACCTGTGCAGGTGTCACCGTGTGCGTGGGCCCCTGGGAGGGCCAGCTCCCCAACGCAGGTATAGCGAGCGGCATTGCTGCTGTCAGGGTTTGGTATTCCTCTTCCGTGCCTTCATCTCCCCGTCCTGGTGCTCGTTGATATGCTCAGCATTGCCGTCGTGCTCACGTATGTACACGCATTCCGCCCGTCCCCCGGATACCCGTCGTTTCCTGTCACCTATTACCTCATCTCACATCCCCGCCACCCATATCGCAGTCTTCCGTAGACTAAACAAGCATTCCGCCTCAGTCCTTGCCGTGGTCGCAGATGCGTGTCAATGTTTTCTTTCCGTGGCACCATTCTGAAGCACTACGTCGGCCATGCCCCGTGAATGATGGAACGCGCAAGCCCCCCGTACAGCTGCCACAACAAAGTGCGATCCTTCGCATGCTATCAACCGCATAAAGCAGCCCACTGCAGATGGGATGGGTACGACGCTGGATGTGTGACGCACTCAATGGGATGCAATGAATGCAGTGCAAGCGGTGCGGCGCAAGCATGCCACTTGGTGCAATCCATGATGGGCAGCCTATGTGGGACCACATGCGCGGCGCTATCTACGAGGTTCAAAATCAGTGCTGATATCGACGCGGCGAGATATGTGTGATGCAAGCTATACGATGCAGGCTGCGTCGTGGAATGGTTGTATGCAGTTGTGGTGCAAGCTAGCTACGTGGTGCCCTCTGTGTGTGTACGCATAGTGTGTGGTGCGGGCTCAACAGTGGCTGCACCCTGAGGCGCGCGCCAGCGCACGAGGCGGCGCCACGACGCGGCCCTGGGCGGCCAAAGGGCGTCAGCCCGCGAAACACCCCGCCAGCTCGCGTGGCGGCCACGCGGTGGACACGGGACGGCCAGGGAGCGCAGGTCCGGGACGGCCAGCCAACGCACGGGGCGGCCACGAGGTGGACACCAGGCGTCAGCCCGAGACACCCAGCCAGCCCACGAGGGGCGGCCACGGGCGGCCACGGAGCGCAGGTCCAGAACGGCCAGCCAGAGCTCGGCGGCGAGCCCGGGAGGGAAGTGAGAAGGGGCGGGTCTTCGCAGGAGGCTCGGAAGCTCCATGGCACTCTGAGTTATGATGTCCCCACCTACTTTAGCCTTGATCATCAGAAAGAATGTCGAGCGCCAGAATAAAAAACGAAACTCGACGGTTTTCACGTGTCGGGCCCTGGGAGACACTCGTCCGACACTGTTTCGACACTCTCTCGACACTTTGCTGGGTGCTCGAAATTATTTCTGGGACGTGGTCCTTGAGTACGATGGGAGCAACATAACCTCTGAGAGGTGTTCTCAGCCTCTCCCGAAGACAAAAACCCCGCCGCCTTCTGGGAAGGCCCTCGCCTTCGCGTTTCCCCCCCTCGACCGCCGCCGGAAAGCACGGGGCGACCACGAGGCGGCCACGGCCTCGGGCGACCTCCGCATAAAAAGCCCAGAGCATCCACCCAAGTACTTGACAGCTACGTAAGGCCCCCTCAGTCAGTCTAAGTGAAGGGGCCCTGGGACACACACAAATAAATACACACAAATAAAAGGATTCCCCATATTTTCCCATAGTTTCTGGGTTTCTGTCTTCTCCCCCACTGCCCATATTTTCCTATATTTTCTGGGGAATCGACGATTAATTGTGTCTGTGTGTTTTTTCCTCTCCTGACTAAGACCTGATTGGAGAAACAAAGAAGAAACAAAACAGAAACAACAACAAAAAACTGAAAATTCAGCAAACCGAGCGCACACAGCTCACTAAGTTCACGCACGTATGGCTTCAAGGACGGGACGGGTTGACATTCAATTCGGCATCCTCTAAGCTGTTAAAGAGCATGCGTGCCTACAGCGATGCAAATCCCTTGCTTACAAGAGCCGTCTTCACAAGCTTGTCCATGATCCACCGAAGCCGTAGCCACCCGGGGCAAGATCATCAGGGCAAAATGAATGTCTCATCACGTTCAAAATATTTTGAAGGCTGCCTAATTACCTGCCCGCTCTCGTGCCTCGAGTGCTCGCAAGTCTGTCACAGTCTCGTTCCTCATCCTGCACGCTTTCTTCCAAGCATGCTTGTCTTCTGCGTTACGCAGCGTTGTGGTATATGCAAGTAGTAGCATGCGCATGTGGTGCTTCTCAGCCCCCTACCGAATACCCTCCTTGATGTAATGGTTTTTGTTGATGAGCTCGGTGAAAGAGGAAGCCCAGAAAATGAAGGACATGAACTTCGACAAAGCCTGAATGGCGACATCTAATGATCAGAGAGAAAAGAGCATGTCAAGGAAAAGAAGGAGCAAAGTATGGCATGCCTGGGGGAGGGCTTCGAAGGCATTGAATCAAAGAGGGCGGATCCACAGTTTTACCACAGCATTGAACTGCTGAACAAGTAGATCGGAGGGAAGGGGCAGAAGAAGAGCACTGGATAAGGTGGTGGCGGGAGAGTGGGAGAATGTGGAGAAGGAAGGTGCGAGACGCGCAAATACTCCAGCAGTATACTCAACAGAAGTGCCCTGGCGAGAGCAGCAAGCACAGGGGAGCTTTTTTTGTGACTGGACAATGCATTCACAGCGATACACAGTATGTCGCTGAGGCCAGCAGCGCGCAGAAGCAGGAAGACTGCCAGTCTTACATGCAGATTTGAACGCTAGAGCACACTCTGAACACAGTGCGAGACGAACTCCTGAGGGGGGGAGGGGGGGGGCGATTCTCGAACCTGTCCGAATGAACCAGAGATAGGCAACCATGTGCTCTTTGCTGAGGGCCCGAAGAACCTCCAGGCAGTCTCTGGGCCTCTGGCTCCAGCAGAACGGTCGTCTCTGTTCGCATCCAGCGCTTCGGCCGAGCAGGCGCACAGGAAGCCTGCAGCGAATTGGAGTATCACTGAAGCCAGCGCCCGCGGATCAAGCCACGGGGAGAAGAGTTTTCCTCAGGACTTCAAATCTCGCGGGTAATCCGTGGGACTTCTTCACCGATATCGACGGTCACCTCCACCGAACTAAGATGAAGCCCGAATTGGGTACGTTTTGGTGGTAATGCCTTGGCCACCTCACAGGCCTGAAGACTACCACCAACACCAAAATCGGGGGGGCATTGCCGAGGAGTTCCGGGGCCAAGCCGGGACGGCGGAAGGCACCTGCTTGACGTGGCCCAAGGGCTGCACGCGACGTCGATATCGATGAGATTGCTGGTCACTCATTCTGGAACGTAGTGTCGTCTTGTTAAGCCATGTGCTGAGGAAGGTTGAGACACCCAAAGCCAGTTGACGCCGCCCCCACTAGCCTGAGCGCGACGAAGCCCGAGGAAGAAGGGTGGGGAGGAGGAGCAGTAGAGGAATCAGTCACTGAATCACAAACATTGAAATTCGAAACCAAAAGGCTACGGAGACGGAGACGACAGGAAGAGGAGAAAGAGACGACGAAGAAGAAAAAAGATATATAAAACGAACCAAAGGCTGCGGACCAGGAGGTGACGGAGATGGCAGGGAAGAAGAAGATGCTTTAAAAATTGCTACGGGCGAAGAAAAAACGGAGAAGGCAGCGGGAAAAGAAAAGAAAATGATGATGACAAGGATCAACATGAAGATGTTGATGATGCTGGTGCTGATGATGGTAATGGTGATGGTGATGGTGATACTGATGGTGATGGTGATGGTGATGGTGATGGTGATGATGACGATGACGGTGATGGTGATGGTGATGGTGATGGTGATGGTGATGGTGATGGTGATGGTGATATGGTGATGATGGTGATGGGTGATGGTGTGATGATGGTGATGGTGATGGTGATGGTGATGGTGATGGTGATGGTGCTGGTGATGGTGATGGTGATGGTGATGGTGATGGTGATGGTGATGGTGATGGTGATGGTGATGGTGATGGTGATGTGATGGTGCTGGCGATGGTGACGATGGTGACGACGACGATGATGATGCCGATGATGATGATGTTTATGAGCATGATGACTGTGATGATGATGGCGATGAGAATGGCGATGATGATGCTGACGATGACGACAACGACAAGGATGGCGATGACGAAGCTGATGGTGGTGATGATGGTAATGGCGATGAGTATGATGATGATGCTGGTGACTGGTCACGATGATGCTGATATGATGATGGGTGATGGCGATGCTAACGATGTTGCTGATAATGCTGATGATGATGCTGACGATAAATGTAATGATGATGGGTGTAATAATGGTGGTGATGATGACGATTGTACATAATATAAAATGGTGGTAATGATGACGATGATGATGATGATGGTGATCATGGTGAAGTTGATGATGATGACTGTGGTGATGATCATCACGACGCGGATAATGGAGATGAAGATGTTGATGATGCTGATGGTGATGATTATGGTGGTGATGATGATGATGACGATGACGAGGACGGTGATGATGACGATGATGCTGATGGCGATGGATGGTGATGATGGTAATGGTGATGGTAGTGATGATGATGTCGCTGATGATGATCATGGTTGTAAGAATGATTATGATGACCACGAGGATGATGATGATGCTGATGATGCTGCTGATGCTGATGCTGATCCTGATACGGATGATGATGATGACGGTGGTGATCATGATGGTGATGATGACGATGATGATGCTGATGATGATGGTGATTATGATTGGTGATCGTACTGAAGATGAACGATAATGACGATGGTGATGATGATGATGGTGATGTTGATAATGATGCTGCTCATAGTGGTGATGCTGATGATACGGGTGATGATGATGGTGATTTGATGACACGTATGATGCTGACGATGATGATAATGATGATGTTGACGATACGGATGATGATAATAATGCTGATGCTGATGATGACGATGATGATGGTGATGATGATGATAAGATTTCCTGCGAGGTCAGCGGTGGACCCCCGCTCCGATGCGAAGGCGCACCGCGCGAGGACTACGGGCCGGTCCTTGCCCCGCCGCCGCGCGGACCCTGCCTGGGTGACCACTGCGACCGGGTCCGCTGCGCAGGCCACGAGGACACGGGCCCAGAAACACTTCACGTCGCAGCGCGCAAGGGGCAGTCCACACGCGCGCTAGGGCAAGCCCGATGACGGCATTGCGAACTGCCCGGACGCAAGAGGGGAAGGGGGGGGGAAGAGAGGAGCGGCCGCGGGAGGAGGGCAAGGAACTCATGCGTGGGGCCCAGACACATGCTGGGCGACGAGATCTATCCACTGTTCCCTGGCCAGGCCCATCCTGGGCCCAGCAGCGGAGTATGCGCCACGCCCTCGTGGCTCGCCCAGGAGAGCGTGTGCACAGCTCCTGGGCCCGGGAAAGGCCCTGGCCATGGGGCAGCGGGCGTGTATAGACCGTATCGGAGGTTGGGGGGTGAGATCGAAGTGGAACGGAGAGCCCCCCTACCGGGAAATCGATTTCGGTTTCGTGTTCGTGCGTGCCGTGCGGGCGAGGCGAAGCTGCGTGGGCGGGCGAGAGGAAAGTCTCCTGTGGCTGAAGCGCGGCCGGACCAGATGATTCTCCGCCGGGCGGCCGGTCGCGCGCGGTGTCCCGCCGGTGTCCCGCCGGTGTCCCGTCGGTGTCCCGATGATGATGTTGATGATGATTATGATGATGATTATGATGATGCTAGTAATGATGATGAGGGGATGATGTTGATGATGGCGATGATGATGATGATGATGTTGATGATGATGATGATGATGATGATGATAATGGTGATGATGATGATGACGTCGATAGTGATATCGATTGTGAGATCGGCAGTGAGACCGAATGAGACAGCGAATAAGGTCTCTCTCAGGTTCTCCTCCACCACGCTATTAGGGGGCACGGGCTTTGCTGCAGTGCACGGGTTTTGCCAGCGCAAGGGCTTTCCCAGCGCACGGGCTTTGCTGTAGTGCTATCAGGGGGACACGGTGTATGCCAGGCTTTGCCAGCGCTTCGGTACTCTCTGACTGCATGAGGCACGCTTTCGCTGGGTTTCAGCCGTTTGCGCTGTTTGAGCAAGGGAAAAGAGCTATGATGGCGGTACATCGGTCTCGACCGCCGAAGGGCAGCCGTTGAGCAATATTTTGAAGCGATTTAGTCAGTGGCGACAAGAAGGGCTTCAGCAGGCCTCCGACAAAAAAATCTCCACTGGCATCGTCAGGAGAACAATCACCACTGTTGCCCATTGCTCGGCCCCTCCACCCCCCCCAACCTCCTTATCACCCGTAGGGTGGTCGTATAGGTAGACCTCGTCGCCCGGACATGAGCCCCTGCGCCGAGGGTCCGAATCCCCGTGGGCATGCCCAAACCAAAGATCGTTCCGGGGTGGAGAGTCCCTCCCTCATACGTCCCCCCTCCTCCTCTTCCTCCTCCTCCTCCTCCCGCTCCTCCTCCTCCTCCTCCTCCTCCTCCCTCCTCCTCCTCCTCCTCCTCCTCCTCCTCCTCCTCCTCTCCTCCTCCTCCTCCTCCTCCTCCTCCTCCTCCTCCTCCTCCTCCTCCTCCTCCTCCTCCTCCTCCTCCAATCAGGACCACGAGGGTACCCCCATCCACAGGGAGGGCTGCGATCGGCCCTCGCGCCCGCCGAACGCGACCAGCGCCAGGAGGCGGCGCTGCGCAGGCCACGGGACCGTGGCGCTGGAAGCCAGCGGGCGACGCGCGGCGAGGGCACGCTGGACAGGAGGAGAGGAGAGGAGAAGAAGAAGGCGGCCGCGGAGGAGGAACGCGGGGGGAGGCCGCAGGCGTAGAGGGTCGACACCACAGGGAGTGCGCGGGCGGCCTCGGGCACCTAACGTGGTGCAGTGAGATGTGCGCGGCCGGCCCCAGCTGCCGAGGGCGAAGGCTGCGCGATCCCGCGGGCCCAGGAGCCCAGAAGCGTGAGCCCCTTCGCCGACAGCCCGAGTCCCCGTGGAGATGCCCAAAAGAAAAACACTCCGGGGTGGAGGGTCCACGCCGTAGAGCACGGGGGGACCCCTCCACAGAGAGGCTGTAATCAAGCATCGTGCCAGCTGTACGCGACCAGCGCCAGGAGGGTACTGACGGGAGTCATCGCAACCGCAAGCGACGGCCGTGCCGTCGCTCCTGGGAGGGACCGCGCGGACGTCTCCAACGAGAGCCTGCGCGGGACAACTAGAGAAGGACCCTCCCGCTTGCCCTCGACGTCGTCCTCCTGTGCGCTCAAGCGTCCCTGGCTCGGGAGAAGACAGACTGCTCTCGTAGCTGCGATGGTGGACCTGTGGGTAGCGGCCTGTCCTGCCGGGTGGACCGTGGTAGAGGCAGCAGCGTCCAGCACGGTACGCGACAGGACGCCAAGACCCTTGGGCGCGCCAAGGACCGCCTGCACGCCGAGGTGAGGTTCCTGGAATGCTGTCTCGAGCCCAGGGGGGGAAGTGCGATGGGGGGGCAGGCCTTCTCGGAAGCCCTTCGCACCATTTCAGAAGCCCTCTGTGGCTTCGGAGAAAGCTCACACGGCTTCTCAGAAGGCGCGAGGGCTTCTGAGAAGCCCCGCCGCCTTCTGAGAAGGCTGGCCCCCTCTTGCTCCTCCTGTGGGCTCGCCGCCGACTGTCGCTGCCGGGCCTACGAGAAGCAGACCACCGCCTTCGACTCGAGAGGCGTCACCCCGGCGGCGCGCTGGGATCACGGCATCCCCGCCAAGGATCCCGAGCAGGGCGACTCTGCCCCCAGGCTCCAGAGGGTTCCAGCAGGGCCTCCGCCCCAGGGGGAGGAGGCCAAGACGGTGATCACGACGACGACGGCGATGCTGCTTCCCGCGGCCCTTCGCGCAGACAGAACGGGGACGGCGGGTCTGCGCGCCCTCCGCGCCCCAATCGGCCAGGCAGCCGGAAGGCCTCGGTCAGTCAGTCGGCCACGTCTGCGCCAGAGACGACTTCGACTGCTCGCGCAGCTCTGGGCCGAGACCTGCAGCTTACCTCGCCACATCGCACTGAAGTCGAACAACTGAGCTCGGGTCCACATATTCTTCCATCATCTTTCGCAGATCGTTGAAAGGCTGGCTGTGAACGGCATTCGTGAAATCCCGGTGATTCTCGAAATCCGCCTGGTAGACAATCGAATGCGTACTCCGAAACTCACCAGCTCTACCAATATCGGTGGCAAAACTGCAATGCCAAGTTTTTAGTTCCTTCACGTTCCTCTGAACATCTGCGAGGGCTCCCTTGATCTTGGAAACGTCGTGAGATCCCAGGTCTTTCTTGAATCGTGCCATGACGATGTGGCGCACATCTTTGACAACTGGGTCCACTGACATTGACATTGATCGTTTGGGGCGGATGCCATGATCGGCGCTCTCATCACTGGCACTCAACAGGGGTGCCCCCTGCGAACTCGAGCGGGTGAGCTGAATTCGGGTCTGCACGTGAATGATATCCGCCCAGTGCTCGTTGTACTTCTGCTTCCCGACTGCAACACAGGAGACAATGTCCGCCACCTGGCCTCCCTGGCATTTTGGGGCGTGGGGAACTGCTAAGTGCTGCCTGGCAGGGCATCTGTAAAGTTCTCGTAAACCCTGACCCATTCACTCGTCGTGCCCCACGCGAGCATTCCACCCGCCGCCCCTCCCGAGCCTGTTTGGGCGGCTCGACGTTTCACTGGCGGTCGCCAAGCTCTCCAGATGGCTCAAGGAGGCCTCCAGGTTGCCCAAGAGGCCTCGAAGACGACCCAAGAGGCTCTGAGAGGGCATAAGAAATGGCCTAGACACTCAAATTCCTCGAGCCCTCTGGACGCAGGTGGTTTAAGGCGCTCCCTCTTCCAAGCCCCTTCTTCCCCTCCAGGGAGGGGTTTATCACTGCTCCTCATACGTTGACGCTCTCTTCCCCACTCTACCCGGCCCTAACCACGGCAAATGCCAACACCCCCGCAACCAACCGTCAAAAAACAAACAAGCTGCACCGTGCGGCAGAATCTGCGTCATGCTCAGGCACCCCGCGATCACTTTACCATGGTTTGTCTTGACAGGGGCGACGAGGTGAGGGGGGTAGCACGTAGCCCCACGTGAGCAGACCCACCGGTCCTGTCAAAGCCAGAGCGCTGCTCGCCTTACGGCAGCAAAGTGTTGCACCATGCGCGGGCGCCCCGATATCACCGCGCCCCGTTGCACGAAGGATTGCAAAAAAACGAAGGATTGCAAAAAAAACCTTCGAAGGATCGCAAAAAAACCAATCGAAGGATTGCAATCATCCCAATCGAAGGATTGCAATCCTTCGATGGGGATGACGCGGGTGCCCTGGCACGCGCGGTGCAACCCTCGCGAGCGCCGCGCACTGGGCTTGCGCCCGCAGCTGGTCCTGGTGGTTGTCGACGGCGGCCCCGGCCCATGCTGTGACGCGGGTGCCATTCCAGGAGGAGGAGGAGGAGGAGGAGGAGGAGGAGGAGGAGGAGGAGGTATTTCGGGGGCAGGTGGGAGTGAGCGAGACGGCCTACAGCTCGTGGGCAGCTCCTCCCCCCTACCCTGCCCTGGGTCTGGACAGTCGGGGGGAGGTGCGAGGGGCAAAAGAAGGCGCCAAAGATTCCCCCCGAGATGATCCCAAGAGGCCCCCAGATGGCCCAAGATGGCCTCCGAGACGCTGCATCACAGCACCGCGGGGAAAATCCGCCGATCCGGCGTGTGAGTTTCAAGGAGTCTCAGCTACAGCCTCGAGGCTGAGCTTCAGCCTCTGGGGGGGTCGCCGGGGTGGCTCTGCCGGGGAAGGGGGGGTGGGGTGGGGGGGGGGGGGTGCGAGTTTCCGGCGAACCCCGGGGCCGCTCCGGGGGAGTGGAAGATAGGGGGGGGGGGGGCGCCATGCTCCGCTTTTTCCGGCGCTTTGGAGGAGGGGGGGGGCCCAAGAGACCCCCAAGGGGTTCCAAGAGGGCCCCGAGTCGCCGAAAAATCGCTCCAAGACGCCCGAGATGGCCTCCAGACGGCCCAAGGTGTCTCCAAGACGCCCCAAGAAGCTTCCAAGAGGCCTCCCAAGAGGGCCCCAAGAGGCCAGAATCGTTGATTTTCATTGGTTTTCTCAGGGTTTTTAGCGTTCTTGCCTTTTCGGGCGTCCGACGCTCGAAGACGGCCCAAGAGGCCCCCAAGTCCGTCCCAAGACGGCCCACGATGCTTCCAACACGGCCCAAGAGAGCCCCAAGACGGCCCAAGAGGGCCCCAAGACGGCCCAAGAGGGCCTCTGGACAGCCCAAGAAGGCCCCAAGAGAGCCCCAAGAGGGGCCCAAGAGGGGGACCACGAACCGAAAGAACCGAGCTTTCCGCCCCAAGAGGCCCCCAGGAGGCCCCAAGAGACCCCCAAGGGGCCCCAAGAAGCCCACAAGAGGCCCAAAAGAGGTTCCAAGAGGCCCCAAAACAGCTCCCCAGAGGCCTCCAGACTGCCTCCGGCAGGCCCCCGGTTTCTTCCGCGGCACCGCCCAGGGCGCCACCGGCAGGATGTCCTCCGTCTCATCGTTTTCCTTCAAGTTATCGCCTCTTCCTCATTCTCCTCCTCCTCCTCTGCGACCTCACTCCTATCCCTCAACGATCGCGTCACCGAGTGCCTCTTCTTTGAAACATCCTCGCTCTTCAAACGCACATCCATACACACATGCATACATACCTACATTTAAACACATTTGCATACATAGAAAAACAATCTTCCAGACATACATACTTACATTCACACACATACACACATATTATCATACACACATACAAACATACATACAAACTAAATACATACATACGCGCACAAGCATACATACATACATACGTACCTACACACAGGCACACATGATCAATGCATGCATACATGCATGCACGCGTACATACACACACATATATCGTGAAACTCACCGCGTGCTCGAAACTTGAGAGAGACCGCGGGAAGTCGAGAGAAGCCGCGGAACGAGGCCTCTACTACTACTACCACTACTACCACAACCACTACTACTACTACTACTACCACTACTACTACTACTACTACTACTACTACTACTACTACTACTACTACTACTACTACTACTACTACTAATACTACTACTAGTACTACAGGAGCGTTTCCCAACTAGTATGTGTGTGTGGGTGATGCTGTGTGCGCATGTCTGCGGCGCAGGTTAAGTGGTGTGACTGTGTGTGTGCGTTTGAGTGTGCGCCCATAATTTCTGCGTCTGGAGAATAACCCCGAGCGACCCGGATCGGCGGCACTGGCCGAAGGCCACTACAATAAGCCCAGCTGGGAGGTTCATCCGAGTGCAGAGGCGGAGGGCGACATCCCACCTGGGCACCAGCTCGAGGGCACGCCCCAAGAAGGCGACAGGAGAGCGACGGCACACAAGACAGTGCAAGGCATGTCAGGATGGACTCTAACGTGCGTCCTGGGGGCCACCGCACCACTCCAGGACAGCTCCTGGCGGCCACAGAGCCTCCAGATGGCACCCTCAAAACCTGAGATCGTCACACCGGTCTCTGTCTTCTCGCCCTTTGTTCGCGCCCGACGTGTTTCCGCGGCCTCTTTCTTTCTTTGCGCACGGCCGCTGGTGCAATGCACACGCGTGCTGGAAGATGGGGATGCGATCATGACACCCTGAAGCTCACGATGACCCCGAGGGCTGGGCGCGCGCCATGCAACTGCCCGAGTAAACTGCCGGCGCACAGCTAACTACGCAGAGCAGACTTTCGGCACCCGAAGGCCTCAGGATGGCTCGAAGAACGCCCACGAGAGCCCCAAGAAGGGCCCAGAAGAGGTCCAGAACGGCCCCAGGAGCGCCCACGAGCCCCAAGAGGGCCCCAAGAGAGCTCCGAGAGGCGGCCTTTCGGGCTTCGACGGTGGGAGGGGCTAATTGGGGGCCCCTCTCTTCTTCACAACCCAAACCATTGGAAGGCAGGAGCGGTTTGAATACTTAGTGTTGGCCTCACGAGGGGTATCTTTGGGAGGCGTGTGGCCAAGATGGCTCCAAGATAGCTCCAGATGCCTTAAGATGGCCTCCGACATGGCCCAAAATGGTCAAACTTGGCTCAGGATGGACTACACAATGCCTCCAGGAGGACCCAAGATGACCCACAAGACTGCTCTAAGTGGCCTCGGAGCCCCCCACGGACGCCTACATATAAGCCAAAATCGCTCAAACACCCAAGGTTGTGCTCAATGTTATGTTGCCTTCTGGTAGTTTCGCTTCCGATGTGTTTCTAAGGCCTCAAGGGGGGTCCAAGATCGTTCGAGAGAGCCCAGAGGGGGGTCCAAGAAGACTCACACCCCAGGAGCGCCCAAGAGCACCCCAAGAGAGCTCTCAGAGGCCAGTGTTCGAGCTCCAAGGAAAACCTAATTGCGGAACCCCATCTTTTTAATAAATGTCCCCAAGGATAACCCCAAGGGACACCCAAGGCTCTCAAGAGAGCCCCAAGAGATCCCCAAGGGCTTCCAAAATGGCCCTAAGAGTACAACAAGATGATCCCAAGAAGCCTCCGAGAGGCTCCCAGATGTAACGGGCCGAGAAGGCTGTCTTGCTTCACTCTTGTGTCCGATCAGGCTCCTCCCGAGCTTCTGTTTGACAGCTGCTTCCCCTCTCTGTTACACTGCGTGCTCCTGCACAGCCCTGGTCAATACAAATCGCCTGATGGGTCGTTTCTGGATGGGCCGGCCAGCGGGGACGTCGGTTCGAGGTGTCATCTGGAGTGTTCAAGAAATCCCAAAGAAGGTCCCAAACAAACCCAAAAAGTTCCCAAGACTGGCAACGAGGACCCCAAGAGGGGCCTGAAAGGGTCCCAGAAGAAATCCAGAGGGATACAACATGGTCTAAGAGACTACCCAGGCGGCGAAACGGGAGCCCCAGAGATCCCAAGACGGCCCGAGAGCGCCCCAAGAGGCCCTCAGAGGACCCCAAGAGACGTCCAGTCGCCCCCATAGCGCCCCAAGAGATCCCCAGGGTCACAGCTACCCAAGAACGTATACCACCCACGTCAGTCACATGGCAAGACCGTGGGGTGGGCCCGCTCATGGGCCCGCTGAACCTCCCAGAGACGCACGCCAGTGGAGACAGTGGCGCACCAGGCAGCGCCCAAAAGGCGAGATCTCGCGTCGGTGGTTCAAAGATGGAGGCCCGAGGGATGGGGACCTGAGGATAGGAAGGGATCCACGTGTTTGAGGATAGGGTAGGATAGGATAGGAGGGATAGGATAGGATAGGATAGGGATGAGGACCTAAGGATAGGGATGAGGACCTAAGGATAGGAAGGATAGGATAGGATAGGATAGGGTGGATCTACGCTGTTTGAGGCACCTCGGCCTAGAGGGCCCCATCCCTCGGGACCCCCATCTTTGAACCGCCGACTCGTCGGGCCCGACGAGGGCGCCCCCCGCCGGCGGAGCCTCGCGAGCGTGGCGACGGCGGCGCGGCTGGCAGCACCCCGGGAGGGCGAGGCCTCGTGGGGGTCCGCGTGTGGACCGCCCCCGCGCCGGGCAGCTCCGTAAGAGCGGTTTTTTGAAGGCAGATCTGCCTTCATTGTAAGGACGGTTCTTTGAGGGCAGATCTGCCTTCAAAAAACCGTTCTTGCAGAGTAGACCATTTTTTGAAGGCAGATCTGCCTTCAGAAAACCGTTCTTATTGAAGGCAAATCTGCCTTCAAAAAACCGTTCTTACAGAGGGACCCACGGACGTGGCGATAGCTGCGAAATTGGCGGCAGCCAAAGGGGGCGATGTCGCACTCGGCACGCGCAGCGCGGCGCTCCACCCGAGAGCTCACGAGAGCGGCCACGGTTGCGCAGTTCGCCGCATGGAAAAAAAAGGCGAGATTGGCTCGGATCCGCGTTGCGCCGCACTCTGCTGTACTCTCCAGGAGCAGGGGTGACAGTTGCGAGGCTGGCAAAACCCAAAGCGGCACGGTCGGCAGCACACAAAGAGGCGACATCTCGTTCGGGTGTGCGCAGCACCGCACTCTGCGTGATCCTCCAGGAGTTCACACAAGTGGCGACAATTGCGCGGCGGGCAGCACCAAAGGAGGCCAAGGACCCATTTCAATCTGCGTAGGACGGCACCACGCTGAACCCCAAAGAAGCTCACATAAGACAACCGCGCAGCTGGCAGCGCCCAAGATGGCCAAAGTCTCGGTTGGATCTGCGTAGCACCGCACCCCGCTAGAACCCCCAGGAGGGCACAAAAGCGAGCGAAGATTGCTCAATTGACACCACCCAAGGGGGCCGGGGTCTCGTCTGGATCTGTGTAGCACTGCCCTCCGCTGGACCCCTCAGGAGCTCATATAAGCAGCGACAATTGTGCAACGAGGGCGAGGTCTCGTTCGCCACGTCTCGTTTGCTCTACGCAGCACCACACCCCGCTTGACCTCCCAGGAGCTCACGGACGTGACGACATCTCATCCTGTGGCAGCACCCGGGGAGGCGAGCTCCCTCTCTCTCTCTCTCTCTCTCCCCTGGGCCTGCGCAGCGCCCCGCTCCGCAGGAGACCCCAGGAGCTCAAGCATGTAGCGACAGCTGCGCGGTTGGCAACCCCGGAGAAGAAGCGAGATCTGGCTGTGGCCCGGCGGCGCTGCAAAGCGGCGACGGCTGCGCGCCGGGCAACCGACACCCATGGAGGAAGAGGGAGAGGAAGCGAGGAGGAAGCGAAGAGGAGGCAAGCAGGAAGCGAGGATGGAGCGAAGAGAGGGCGAGGAGAAGAGGAGACAGGAAAGAGAGGGGGAACAGCAGGGCTCTACTCAAAACGAGGACCCAACACAGGAGGGCTGTGCACAAAAACTAATACGGCTGACCAACGAGGGAAGAGGCACGGAGGACAGACACAAGCGAGTTCTAGACCTGGGGAAGAGGAGCGCACAGAATACACTGCGCTGGCACGGTGGCGAACCTTGCCGCAGGCACCTGAATCCGCCGCCCCCTTTTGCTTTAGCAAAGGGGTGCCCGGCGTGCTGAATCCTCTCGGTTTTGGTTTCGGTTCTTTTTCCAAAAGAACTCCCCCTGGGGCTCCGGCACGTCCCGCCGGCCACCCGTAGAGCGCGTCCGTCGATGCCCAAAAACGGCCGTTTCGCTCGGGACATCCTCAAAAAATCGCGAAGATGGCCCAAGATGGCCTCCAAGTCCGCCCAAGATGGTCCAAGACGGCCTCCAAGACGGCCCAAGAGAGTCCAAGCCGGCCCAAGACGGCCCAAGAGGCCCCCCAGAGGCCTCCAAGACGGCCCAAGAGGCCTCCAAGAGGTCCCCCAGGAGGGTCCGAAGAGGCCAAAATCAGATTTTCCTTAGGTGTTTGAAGGATTTTGGAATTTGCTTCTTCTCGGCATTCCGACGGCTCAAGACGGCCCAAGAGGCCCCCAAGATGGCCCAAGAGGCCACCAAGAGGGCCCCATGACGGCCTAAGTGGCCTCCAAGACGGCCCCAAGAGGGCCCAAAGACGGCCCAAGAGGCCTCCAACACGCCCAAGATGGCCTCCAAGACGCCCAAGATGGCCTCCAAGACGGCCCCGAAGCACCCCAAGAGGGCCCCCAGTCGGCCCAGGAAGGCCCCCAAGACGGCTCCCGACGGCGTCAGACGTGCCAGGAACCCACCAAGATGGCCGACGTTGGCTCGAAGCTGGCCCAAGACGGCCCAAGAGGCCCCAAGAGGGCCTCCAGGAAGGCCAGAAGAGGCCAAAAAACCGTGATTTTCTTAAGGTTTTTGACGGATTTGGGCATTTCCTTCTTTTCGGCCTTCCGACGGCCCGAGACGGCCCAAGAGCCCCCAAAGATCGCCGAAAGATCGCCCAAGAGGCCTCCAAGACGGCCAAGATAACCTTCAAGATGCCCACGTGTTCCCCGAAGGCTTTCCAAACCGATTCGGGGAACACATGGTCCGATGGCTTGGCAGGTCTGGCCTCAACGGTCGACCACATATGCGCCTCCAGAAAGACAGGGGGCGGCGGTGATTCGCCGTAGGCGTCTTGGATAAGCACCTAAACACATCAATGTGTACACCATAACATAGGACAACCAGTAGCGCGGCGTGTCGTGCCAAACAAAGCGCCCGGTGAAAGCGGTGATGATAAGTTTGAAACACTCGTTCGAAGCCATGAAAAACACAAGGTCGCACTCCCGTGCTGCAAAAGCCCCGAAAAGAAGTGAACCGACACCACAAAATAAGTAGACGACGAAGAAGACGCCAAACAGCGAGCCAGTAGTAAAAGTGAGAAACTTCCCAACCGCTGCACCAACGGCCGTAGCAATCGCCACGAAGAGCGAATAACCAATCGTGTTATAGAATACATTGTGCTGGCAGGTCCTCATCACTACAAGAGAGATGACGGCAAGAAAGAAGACGAATATCATCCATGATATCGCTGGGGTCGTCAGCAGCCGATTCCAAGCTGTCGCGTTACACGCTTCTGCAGGGGTGGTGTCCTCGGGGCCAACATCCCCCAAGCAGCAGGCTGCGCACGTGAGGACTAAGGTCCCTACCAAGCATGCCTTATCGAAGTGCCCGATCTCAAGAAGCACCTGCAGCGCCAGATTCGAGAGAAGAAGCGTCGCCGTCTCCAGGGGCATCGCGAGAGCCACGGGACCCCACGCACAAGCCTGAAGAAAGAGCCCGACGGCGGCCAACTGCAAAACCAAGTTGGTGGCCATGTGCAGGCATCCCGTGCATGCCGTCTTCTTCTTGTGTCTCGCACACGCCAAGATGTTCATGCCAACGGCCATCACGAGACCGCTCAGCACGGCGAACACACCGCAGAGGTACACAGACGCCATCGAGCGACGGACCGTCCGGCACACTATTCAGACGGCATGCGCGATGCTACGGATTCGGCCGAACGCTCGACCCAGCATGATTGCGGAGACCATCTTCTGGATGCGGGCGTGCATAGTTCCCCGGGGCCAGGGCCCAGGGGGGCCACTGAAGGCCGGAAGTCGAGCGGCCAAGGAGAAAGATCAGCCCTGGGCGCCTGAAATGCGGCCTCCCTCGAAGAAGCAGTATGCACCGCCAACTCCACACGCGGAGCACGAGAAGCCCACGCGCTGGACACGCCCACATGCGAGAGGCCAGCGTGCGCGGCCGACCGTGGAAGGATGTGCGGCAACACGCGCACACAGCTCTCTCGCCCGGGTCGGTGGCAGCTCATGGGAGCCTTGCATGCCATCTGGCTGGCTCTTGCGAATCGACGCTATCCCACGCTAGTCGACGCTAATCGACGCTATACAGAGGCTAATCGACGCTAGTCGACGCTAAATCGACGCTGATCGACGCTAATCGAATCGACGCTAAATCGACGCTAACCCACGCTAGCGCAGTCTAAAGACGGAATTGCGAGAGCATGCAAGGCTCCCAGGAGTTGCTACCGAAGCCCGGGCCTGCCATGTCACGCGTGTCCAGCTTCCCGATAGAGACCAACGGTGCGCAACCGCTGGCCTCGCCCCACGCCGCAAGCGGCAACGCTGGACATCCAGCAGAGGCCCAACTGCTGCCCCGCCCACAGGGCTCTGGCGGCCCCGCAGGTGTGATCGCAAGCACAGGCTGGCGGACGGGACCAGAAGGGTGGGCACGGGACTGGAGGCTGAGCATCGTTTCATCAATCCCCATCCACACTGGCATGCCTGTGGCCCCACGTGCCGATTTACACCCCTAGATGGAGATATACGCGGTTCCTTTCGGGTTTCGAGGGACCTATCCCCAACTGAGGGGTTCAGATGGTGGGCTGAGATGCGCGGCCCAGTGGGGATGGGGATCTGTTAGACGACACTGAGAGGCGAGGGAGGGGAGACCGAGGGAGAGGAACAAAGAACGGCACGAACAGAAACTCCCAGGAGGCCCACGCGGACCTCTTGGACCAGCGCCGCTCCACACAGACCCCGCTCCCACGAGCACCGCCACATTCGCCCCCCCTCGCTCGTCGAGTGCCCTCCCTCCCTCCAGCGGCGCGCGGGCCCGGCGCCTGGGCGGCCAGGAAGTGAGTGATGTGCGGGCGCGCCTTCCCCTGGAGCCGCGGGCCGCGGCCGGAGCGGGGCCATCGGCGGCGGCAGCAGCGGCAGCGGCGGCGGCAGCGGCGGCGGCAGTGGCGGCGGCGGCAGCGGCGGCGGCGGCAGCGGCGGCGGCGTCAGCGGCGGCGGCGGCAGCGGCGGCGGCGGCCCCCAGAGGCATGTTTGCTCCTCGAGAGCTCCTCGAGATCCCAGGGCAAGATTCTGAAGCGGCGGGTGCGGGTGCATTCTGGTGGTGGGGTGGAGAAGGTGGCAGAGGGGCCCCCGCGCCTGGTTCATGAACATCCAAAACTGGCAGAGCACCGCGACGGACTCCAGGTAGAGGGCGAAAGCCCAGCAGATGTCCTCGTCTTCGGCCGCCAGAGGGAGCGGGGCGGCCCGCGGGAGAGGGAAGGTGCACCAACACACGGCTTTCGGGGCCCCCGCGGGCCAACCAGGGGTGGCCGATGCTTCAGGTGCGAAGTCCAGTCAGAGGAGCTGAAGGCAGCCGTCGTCCCAGCTCAGGTCGGCCCCGCAGATAACACGTTCGTACACTATTTTTTGCGAGAGCCGAGACCCTCAGATGGCCGCCTGGGACGGCACTGCCACCCGCATGGAGCTGTCGTCGCCACGAGCCGCGGTCGATAAGCAGGCCGAATCTCCGTTCAGAACCCGCTCCAGGCTTCCAGAGCCATCCCCACCGCGCGCCCCTCTGGATAGCTTCCTCGTTTGGGAAGGGCTGCCGCTCTCCACTCCGCACAATCACAAGCAGAAGCCGCACGGCAATGATTACCGCCTCGGCACTTCACACTCACATCCGAACCCTACTCCAAGCGGGTGTGGTGGCCGTGACCCCAGCGAGCCGTATTAGCGTCAACGGCTGCTGTGTCTGTGTCACCCTCTGGGGCCCTCTTTCTGAAAAACTCTGTGTCGCATGCAACGATACTCGCATGCGCAAGTGCACACGTGTCCACGCACGCACACTACTCAAGCCGTAGCAACCACACGACGACGCACACTGCATCCCATCAAGCCGCACGGAAGCGCATCACGTAAGGGCCCATGGCTGCACGACCACACCAGAATTGTATGCATGCTTACGTACACTTGTGTATATATTTATCTATATGTAGGTGCATGTATATATATAAATATGAATATATATATATATATATATATATATATATATATATACGTGTGTGTATGCTCCATATTCATATGTAGCATGAAATGTGTGTGGGTGGTGCTGCGTCCACTCTGAAAACTGAGCAGAGAGATGGAGGCGATGGTGGGTGTTCTTCGTCGCATAATTATTGTCAATATTAAAATTGCTAGATTCGGCTCCTCCTCGTTCTTGTCAGCATCATCCTTCGTATTGGATTCCCCTCCTCCTCCTCCTCCTCCTCCTCCTCCTCCTCCTCCTCCTCCTCCTCCTGCTCCTCATCCTCGCGCTCCCCATCCCCCTCATCGTAACTCCCCCTTCCTCCCCCCGCACACTCCTCACCCTCACAGTCCAAGTCATCCTTATCCGATGAGAAAGGTTCAGGCGGAATGTTGAGGATGTGGGCTGAGCAAGGGTGGACAACGTGAGAAAGAGGAGGAGGTGGGCGGAAGAGCAGTGTTCTGACGCATTCACCTCGTGGCCGTCGGAGCGATCTTGTCTCCAACACGGCCACTGCTCGGAAGCCTCTTGGGAATCGGAGGCGAGGAACACATACGCCCCATCGACGGCCTCCCAGTCGCGTCGCTGGTCACCACGCCGGGCCCTGCCGCGCTAGGCTCATCAGCCGGCCGACTGCCCACGGTACCAAGACCGTTCGCCCTCCTAGATCCCGTCCCGCTCAAAGCCTCGGGTGGGAGTTATCGACAGACTCCGCCCCACGGGTGCTGGGGGTTGCGGGCGTGCGTCGTCAGCTCGCGGCTGCCCTGTTCAGTGCGCTCACGCGCGCCTCCTGCCAGGATCTGTCCGTGGTCAGCGGCCACTCCACGCACATCCCCTGAAACATCAGGACCCGTCTGCTGGAACCAGAACCTCTCGAGGGCAGCGAGACTTGTCGAGCTGAGCTTGGGAGGACGGTCGGTAGCCATGCGCCAGTGGGTCTGCTGCCCCAGGCGCCCCGACTAGATCCAGCCAGCGCAGAACAAATAGATCGCCGCAGAAATGCCCAACCTGGTGAGGGGACCGAGAAGCCCCGGACGCTTCTGTGTTACATCGCTGGATGGGGCACCGGCTCCGAGGTGCCCGTGTCGATGCGGGCCTGCTCCTCTGAAGTGGGAACCGTGGTTCGCCTGCTCCTCTGCAATCGAATCGAGCTCTTGCCGCGCTCGCTGGCCAACGCGCTAGATCCGCGGTGGGGGGCGAGGACGCCGCGCGATCTCTCCAGGGACACGCAGAGCGCGCGCGGTGCCCCCCGCCTTTCCGTCAGCCCCCGGCTGCAAGCAAGAGTGACCCTGGCAACGGTGACTTTTGGTGCGCGGCCCAAGGGGGGTGCCTTTGGGGACACCACCAGGCGCGCAAGCCGCTGCTGTCGCATCGCAGCCCAGCTATCCGGGGGGCAACACTGGAACTGCACCGAAGGCCACTCCGGCGAAAGGTCACTCCCCGTGTGGCCGGCCACCGTGCTGGCCCAACCCGGACCAGAGCCAGGGCAGAAGCGACTGCCACGCACCACGGCGCTGGTCTGAGGTCACCATCCCGCCACTCACAGGGCGGCGCACCGCCGACATGGGTCGAGGCGAGGCTGGCGGGTTGCGGGCGCGCGGCCGCGGAGCCGACGGGCCGCACGTGGGGCGCCCTGCGGTCGGGCACTGTCGTGTGGCGTGTCGCCGCGGCGGCCCCGGCGACACGCCACCCCCTGCAAGCGGATAGCATGTCGCCCCGCTCCGCGGGGCGGGATGCCTCGAAAGGATCGAGACGTTGAGGCCCCGGGGCCGCGAAGTGGATGACGTATCGCGCCGAGGCGCGGTGGGCCAGAACCGGCGGAGCGACGCGCCATCCCAAAGTTTCTGACCGTAACTCTGCGTTGGGTTGCAAATGGCGCACGTGTAGGTACGACTCTACCAGGGCGACCATCGAAGAGCACACAAGGAGCATACTTATCCATTATCTGTGTATGTGTGTATCTATACATATACACACACGCTTGGGTGCATGCATACGTGGATGGACATGTGCGTGCTCGCATACACGCAAGCATGCATTCACACCAGGGCGCATGCGTGAACACTTTTCACTCTGCCCTCTTTACTCCACCCTCTGCCTTCTTTCCTTTTTCCTTGCTCGCCCTCCTCCGTCCTGCATCAAATTTGCATACATGTATGTAGAGAGAGAGAGAGAGAGAGAGAGAAAAAAAAAAAAAAAAAAAAAAAAAAAAGAGAGAGAGAGAGAAAGAGACAGAGAGACAGACAGACAGACAGACAGACAGACAGACAGACAGACAGACAGACAGACAGACACACAGACAGACAGACAGACAGACAGACAGACCATTGATTTTTTTTGGTTACAGTACAGCTTTAATTGGTTTCGGAATTATTTCTGTAGTGCGCACTGTATGCAATTACATCAATAATTGTGTCGGGAATTAATAATGTAGGCTCGAAATATTGCCAAGAGCATTTTGGTTATGCATTTCTATTGAGTTGGGAAGTTAGAAAGGAATTCGATAAGGAATTTCCTGAGTTAGAAAGGAATTTGAATACCAGAGATAGTTCTGAACCTCAAAGACAATCGAGTCCGAATTGCCCGAGGAAGCCAGGGCCAGGAAGGGAAAAAGGAGTTAGAAAGGAATTCGATAAGGAAATTCAAGAGTTAGAAAGGAATTTTGTTTTTTGGGTTGGTTTGGTGTTTTTTTGTTTTTTTTTTACGACGCCGAGAGGTCTGAGCCAGGAAGGAAAAAACGAATTAGAAAGGAATTTGATAAGGAAATTCAAGAGTTAGCAAGCAAGGAATTTCGTTTTGGGGGTTATGTTTGTTTTGTTTTGCTTTTTTAAGACGCCGAGAGGTCTGGGCCAGGCAGGAAAAAGGAGTTAGAAAGGAATTTAATAAGGAATTTCAAGAGTTAGAAAGGAATTTCGTTTTTTGGGGTTGTTTTTCGTTTCGTTTTTTTATATACGACGCCGAGAGGTTTGGGCCAGGACGGAAAAAGGAGTTAGAAAGGAATTTAATTAGGAATTTCAATGGTTAGAAAGGAATTTTGTTTTTTTTTCTGTGTTGTTTTTTTTGTTTTGTTTTTTATTTACGACGCCGAGAGGTCCGGGCCAGGAAGGAAAAAGGAGTTAGAAAGGAATTCAATAAAGAATTTCAAGAGTTAGAAAGGATTTTGTTTTTTTGGGGGTTGTTTTTTTTTTGTTCTGTTTTTTACGACGCCGAGAGGTCTGGGCCAGGAAGGAAAAAGGAGTTGGAAAGGAATTTAATACGGAATTTCAAGGGTTAGAAAGGAATTTCGTTTTTTTGGGGTATGTTTTTTTGTTTTGTTTTTTACGACGCCGAGAGGTCTGGGCCAGGAAGGAAAAGGGAATTAGAACGGAATTTAATAAGGAATTTCAAGAGTTAGAAAGGAATTTTGTTTTTTTGGTTGATTTTTTTTCGGGGGTCTGTTTTTTTTACGACGCCGAGAGGTCTGGGCCAGGAAGGAAAAAGGGAGTTAGAAAGGAATTTAATAAGGAATTTCAAGAGTTAGGAATTTCGTGTTTCGGGTTTTTTTGTTTTTTTGTTTTTTAACGACGCCGAGAGGTCTGGGCCAGGAAGGAAAAAGGAGTCAGAAGGGAATTGAATAAGGAATTTCAAGAGTTAGAAAAGCATTTTGTTTTTTGTGGTTGTTTTTTGTTTTGTTTTTCTTCGACGCCGAGAGGTCTGGGCCAGGAAGGAAAAAAAGGAGTTAGAAAGGAATTTAATAAGGAATTTCAAGAGTTAGAAAGGAAATTCGTTTTTTGAGGTTGTTTTTTTTGTTTTGTTTTGTTACGGCGCCGGGGGGGTTGGGCCAGGAAGGAAAAAAAGGAGTTAGAAAGGAATTAAATAACGCATTTCAAGAGTTAGAAAGGAATTTCGTTTTTGGTGTTGTTTTTTTTGTTTTGTTTTTTTTACGACGCCGAGAGGTCTGGGCCAGAAAGGAAAAAGGAGTTAGAAAGGAATCTAACAAGGATTTTCCAGAGATAGAAAGGAATTCTGGATACCAGAGAGAATTCTGAATCGCAGGCCCACTCGCGTCAGAATTCCCCAAGAAACGCTGGGGCCAGGAAGGGGAAACGGAGTTAGAAAGGAATTCGATAAGGAATTTCCCGGGTTAGAAAGGAATTTTAATACCAGAGAGAATTCTGAATTTCAAAGACTATTGAATCAGAGTTCCCCAAGAAACTCTGGGGCC